GGCAATGAGTCTATCAGAAAACATTTGAAAGTTAATGATTTAATTATTTGCCTAATGTGTGAGTTACTTTGGTGATAATTTATAGCCTTAAATACTTGTTTCACAAAAGAAAAATTCTAAATATCAGCAAGCTAAGTATCTAATGTGAAAATTTAGATATACAAATAGAAAAATTTCAAACTCAGTGGAAATAAGAAGTGATATTATATTACAATAACTGCAAAAATTACTAAAATAAAAAAACTAAGAATGATGGAGGGAACTTAATTGCCTAAAATATTACTAAAATACAATTTTTAGACAAAAAATTTAGAAAAGGTGTTAATTGATAACATTACGAAAGAAAAAGGACCCCAATTTCAGGTAACTATGAAATTTAAGACAATAAATAAATAGATTATGGAACTTTATGTCAATCTGTTTGAAAAATTAGTTAACACAACTTAGTAAGACTAAAGAAGAAGTAAAAAATATGTTAGCTTCCTTACTGTTACTGACACATTCTAAGAATGCTTACACATGTGGACTTTGCACTCTTTTCTCTGCTGGGAATGACTGTCTTCAAATGTCCAGTGGATTAATTGTTCATTTAAGCTTTCCTTTTACACATGGTACTATTAGTGAAGACCTCACTACGTAAAATAATTTGTTTCATGCATTATCTCACTTGACCTGCTTTCTTTAATATAGTGGGAATAGTAACATCAAACTATGTTGGTAATGCACACATAGGTTGAGATGGATTCGCTTCTACTACAGCTATTAGCTTGTCATTATTCACCTTGACCTCAGGTTGCCCATGTAGCTCATTTTCAAGATTAAAATCACAAAACAGAATTTCTCAAACCATCGATTTACTGTGCATTGATTAGCCACATCCATCCCAAATATTTCATTGATATTTTAAGCTGTCTGCTGTGCATTGGTTCCACAATGAAACTCATATTAAAAATAACATAAATAACATAAATTTTTGACTTATTCATGATTTCACAAAAATTGCTCTAAAAAAATTTGAAAGATAAGCCAAAACTCGTGTTTGAAAAAAAGAAAATAAGAAATGTCAAGTGAAATGTCAAAAAGATATCAACTGTCAATCTTAGTACTTAAGGAACTGGACATTCTTATTTAATAACCTAATAGCATAGTATATGTTTACATGTTTATTTATTAGTGGTTTTTTCCACCACAGACTATACTTCATAAATATGAGGACTTTATATAATCTGTCATTTCTGGGTTTTCAATTGAAGTTCCAGTAAATTTACTTGAAGAATAATGAATGAAATAATTAAAACTGTGTAATCTCAGAAGATATAGAAAAGAACATTACATGCAAATCAGTATATACTTATGATGAAAAGCTTTGCAAATTTGAAATAGGAAGGGACTTCTTTAACTCAATAAAGAGTCCCAGGGTAGACTGACGTATCAGTGGGCTCAATGAACCATGCCTCCAGTGTTCACGCTTGTTTCACAATTAATCTAGATTTGGCCATTTGATAAGTTTGACTAATGTGACATATTCAAGCTGTTGATGCAAATGTGGAATAACTGAGACTCTCATACACTGCTGGTGCATTTTATCTGTGGAATATAATATGAAACAACTGCTTTAGCAATCAGTGTAATAGTTTCCTTTTTTCTCTTTTTTTTCTGTTTCAGTTCCAAGCTAATTTTCTGTAATAGTTTCTTTAAAAAATTAACAAACTGTGCCATATAAATCTAGCTATCCCACTACTAAGTTTTTATTTCCTCCAAGTCAAAACATGTGTCTACAAGAAAACTAGTATACAAACATTCTTAAAAGTTTTATTTAAAACAATTCCACACTGGAACAACTTATGTACATGGACCAGTGATTGAATAAACAAAATGTAGTACATTTATATAAGGAGATACAACTCAGCAAAAACAACAACAAAAAAACCCAACAAACCCAACCACATAAATCATCTCAAGTCCTTAAGAAGCTTGACACCAAAGAATACACATGATTTCACTTATATAAAATTCTAGAAAATGTAAACTAATATACAGGTATAATAACAAAAAGCAGATGAGTGATTTCTTGAGGCAAAGAGCAGAGGAAGGAAAATCTATAAACACAACAATATTTCACAGTAATGGAAATGTTCTGAATCTTGATTGTGGGAGGTGTTTTAATGGGTGAGTACAATTGTTAACATCCACTAAGGTATGCATTCTGAATGGATGCGATATCCTTTATGTAGGTTTTTCATAATAAAGTTGGTAAAAAATGCATTTGGAAAAACACTCAAGGTGTATTGCATTCAAAATAGAAGTATTATATTCCAAATAAAAGGTTTGTGAGAATCAGTAATGAGACTCTTTGTCTGGACTCAGCATTGGAGATGAAAGATACAATCAATAATACTGATTGATTAGATATGGAAGTGGAGGAAAAATTCAAGAATCTATCTTGAATAATTTGGTGAACAGAAGAGTTGTTTATTGAGATGATGAAATTGGAAATGAGCAAATGTGTGAAAAAAGGTGAATTAGAGAAACTGCCAATGATAACCTGATTTTGGGTAGGCGTGGCCTCCTAATTCTCATCTGTTAATATCAGTAAACATTTTCCTTTTTTGCTACTTAGCAATTTCTTGGTGGCTTACCTTGATTGAATAAGGACATTCTTTATAAATAGTGCATTATATTAATCCATGGTGTTTATGAGGCTCTTGGAATATTTTCTTTCTTAAGAAAATCTAGCTCACAATGATCTCAAATAAATAAGAAATTCTCCAATGTCAATTTCTTTTATATAGTACCATTTCTTCTCTTTCCTTTAAGAATTTTTAAATGCCCTCTGTGCAAGGAAATACATTCCATGCAATTAAATTTTAGTATTAATACATTATATGGAAGATTCTCTGTTTTAGAGAAAATAAGTCAGAAGATCAATGGGCACTCAGGGAAATGCAAGGATATATTGAACACATGTAGGAGATGGGAGAAGGACAAAGAGGCAACTACTACTAAGAATGTATCCTAAGGAATTGATCATATACATGTCCTGATATGTACATAGACTAAGATGCTCATCAAAGTATTGTTTAGAATAATGACTACGATAAGGGAAAACTTTTAAATATGGGATGAGTTGAATATAGTACACAAACATTAAAATTTTATGTAGTTATATGTGAGCATCATTATGACATTTCATAACAAAAGATCTTATCAGTAATTATGTACAGTGAGATTTCAATGTATTTACAATATGATATCTACACATACATACACAAGAATGGAAAAATATCTAGAAATACATTTTATCTAGTACACTTTCAATAGTAATAGATTTGTGGTTTACATTTAAATTTTACTTTAGTTAGTTATTTTGAAATTTTCTGCAAATAATTTATGCAAATAATATAGTATTTAAATAATATATTCTTTTGGAAATGGCACCTATAGATAAAAAGAAATAATCATTTACTAAGTTCCAAGCCTGCAAAATATAAGGGTAATCATTTTTGTTATTCATTCCAATTTCATATTAGAAGAAACAAAATGCATAACTTTCAAAAATAAACAAACAAAAACTTACTCATACATATGATTGCATGTGTAATAGATATTACAACTATTAATCTAAATAAGCTGTATAGAAACACCACCCAAATTACTCAGCAATTGCTCATTTCTACTGTCGTTAGAATATGTACTTTAATTTACTTCGAAATTGAGGGGAGTAGTCCAGTTTTCCACTCTTGTAAATTTGGGGTCCTTGGAGAAATTTGTAGCACAACCTTAAAGTAAATTAGACATTCAGATTCACAAAATTGTGACTCAATAGTTTATACATTCATAGGTCTTATCTCTTCATGTGCAACTCATCTTTATTCTGTTCTATGGAACTAGAGGCATCCTCTGCTTAATGCTGTAAAAAATTTTTATTGAACTCTTGTACAGATCAAAAGAATAAATGAATATAAACATCTCCAATAATGGATAAGCACACAACTGATGACTATTTCGCTAATAGATTATAGTAGCACATGCTTATGTCTATAGGTGTGATGAGAGAGAGAGAGATTAACAAAGCATTTGCAATGAGTAAAAGTAAATAAATGACTTTTGAGTTAGGCAAATACTAATTTGTCTTTTTTTGGGGGGGGGTTCACTATTTATTTATGTCATACATTCCACATCGTGATTCTATCCAGAAATTCTTTGAAACGATGCCATCAGCCTCGGCCAATCAAATAATAGAATCATCTGATTCACCCATCCTGCGAATGGCCCCACAGATAGCATAGATTTTAAACTAGTGATTAAATCTAATGGTAGATTGTCAACCTCAGCCACGTTCCTCTGGATGTATGCGTGGTCCTTAGCAGCGATGATGCGGTTGCTGGCGGAGCATTTCTGCTGCACGTGTAGGTCCACGAACTCGCCAGCGTCGTTCTGCATGTCAAGGCCGGACCTGTTGCCACGGGGACGCGTGAAGGCAGAGAAAGCGCAAATACCAATTTGAATCACAGTTTTCCCACTATTCATTGGAGAGAGCTAAGAAAAATTAATTAATCATTCTTAAATTTAGTGTCCCCGTTAGCAAAATGAAGACAATATGGCATAACCAGAGGAGTTGTTTCCATGAGTTAAAGAAAAATGTGCATAAAGCATTTGAAATTAGGGATTGAATACATTATTATAATAACTATTATAATACTTAATATGGATAGGGAAACTAAGAGGTTCTCTGGAAATCCCATACATGCACTATAGATATACTATCATATTAACACAGTTTCATCTGATTGTAGTCTATAATCTATTCGTTAACTAATTTTAAATAATATAAGCCAGACCTCAAACTAATTGCCATTCTCTTTCATTTCAAAGAAATTCCTAAAAGATGTCTTAAAATAACACTTGGAGGAGGAAAAGAAAGCCAATAATTTTAGTATAATTTCTTAAATTTTAAAGAATGATATTTGAGAACAGTATATAGAATATACAAGTTGGAATAGAGTTCTGGGAAGAGATCAGATTCATTCCTTTTCCAATTTAAGCATAATATTTTTATTTGTATAGCTCCTTAGAGTTTAAACACAGCTTTGAAATACATCTTTCTCTGAGCAAATTCTTCTTTTGACAGCACTTTCCTCAGTGCTGCCTTCATGGCATCATTCTGCAAGCTATAGATGACTGGATTGAGTGTTGGAGGTATCACTGTATAAAATATGGAAAACATGAGGTCCATAGCTGATGGAGAATCAGAAGGAGGTCTTAGAAACTCAAAGCCTGCAGCTGAGAGGAAAAATGTGACTACAAATAGGTGTGGTAGGCAGGTGGAGAAGACCTTAGTGCGGCCCTCAGCTGATGGAATTCTCAGCACTGTGGAGAAGATGTGAATGTAGGAGAACACAATGGAGATCAAACAGGCAAAGGCTGTTGAGGTTGTAAATGCAGCCACTGCAATCTCATTCATGAATTCTTTAGAACAAGCTAGTTTCAGCATCTGAGGAATATCACAAAAGAATTGGTAAATGACTCTCTCCCCACAGAGAGGTATAGAGAAGTTAACAGCTGTGTGCATGAGCCCAGACAGGCCTCCAGCAATCCACACAGCTATCACTGCACGCCTACAAGCACTGGGATCCATGATGGTCTCATATTGCAGTGGTCGACAGATGGCTGCATACCGGTCATAAGACATCACAGTAAGTATGGCCACTTCTGATGAGGCCAGAGCTATGAAGAAGAAAACCTGAAGAATGCACTGAGTCAGGGAAATATAACCATTGTTCATAAGTGAGTTTGCAATGGACTGGGGGACTGTAATGGAGATGAAGCAGAGGTCCAGAAGAGAGAGGTGCTTTAAGAAGTAATACATAGGGGAATGGAGACGAAGGTCCAAGGTAATGATGGTGATAATGAGGAGGTTGCCTGTCAAGGCAAGCATGTATGTTACCAAAAACAGAAGTGCATGTAAAATCTGAAGTTTACGCTCATCAGAAAACCCCATGAGAAGAAATCCACTCACTGAGGTCAAGTTGGCCGTAGTCATTCTGAAGATACCAAGTGTGAATTTCTGTTTGGGAAACCAAAGAACAGAAAGCGAAAACAGCATGATACTTAATTAATATATCTGTATGTAAGGTAACTTAGTGTCCTTAGCATGGAGTTTCTGGAAACAAGTTGAATTTGTCTCCATTGTGAAATTCAATTCGGAAAAATTTTTAGTATTATTCATAAATAGAATCACCAAATGTAATCAACAAATCATAAATTTTTCTTGAGCAGATTTTGGGTTATCAAAGAGGGAGAAATTGATGGAAATGACAAAATCTTTACCTCCACAATGTACCAGAAGTACTATATATTATATATAGTCTAATACCTTAGTATTACAACGATGTACCATAACTTCTTTCGTTAACCATCTAAAATGAATGGATCTAAGAATAGCCCCCAGGTAAATCTAGAATAGATGTTAGCTCAAAGAACAGTCATACTTCTTGCCTTTGAATGGTCCTAACATTTAAGGAAGATTACATTTGGTTGGAATGAACTTCCCATTCTTGAAGAGTGAAATATGTCTCAAAATTGTAGTGTGTAGACGGCATGAGTGTAGATGGCTCTGTTATCAGGCATTGAATCTTGAGCTTTGGAATTGGAAGATCTTACGACTGATGGACAGTGCTTTGTCTTCAGAGAATACCTTTAATTTTCAAAATCCTTAGGACAACTTGGGGTTGGACATCAATCAAACTCATTTGAACAAATAATGAGATTTTCTAAAGTGTTAAGTGCTAGGCATAATGTTAGGTGGTGAAGTATATGCCTTCCAGGAATTATCTTTCATTGTGACTTCTACAATGAAAAAAAAAATTGATTTTTCCCCTAGGATTTGAAATACATTAGATAGTGGAAGCCCATTTCTTAAAATAACCGATTAACCAAACAAACAAAACATCAATGCCATTTACAATACAATTGTTAGGAAGGTTGGATGATATTACTTTTTCTATTTTATTTTAAATGTGTATTGTTGTAGAATAACAAAGAATCATTGTTTGTATCAGAATCACTCTGTTAATTGATTTTTTAAAAAATCTGTGGATTTGTTGATAGGCCCATCAGTGTCATTTTAACTTTCTTATGCTTAAATACTATTCCTTCACCATCTCTGCTCATTTTTCCACCCTTAAGAATGGTATCTAACTTATAGGCAATAAATAATATTTATTTAACTGAGCATCTATCTACACAATTGACTTTAATTCTATATAGACAAAAATTCAGTTATAAAGTTACATGAATTACTACATCAGATAGTGTGGGTTGTCACACTTATTAGTCTTTAAACCACAGGAAAAGGTGAAAAATCACTTAAATAAAGCTAGAAATCTTTCTAATTTTGCTGTAATTTATTTTCAGAACTCACTGAAATTAATTTTTAGGAATTATGCTTTTCCACAAGAAATACTCTTAGGGCTATCAAGGACCTTAGACTGTCACCTGTGTTCTGTCCCCTGCTTCAATTAGTGTGGCAGCAAGAATTAGAGGAAGATAGGAGTTCTTTTCTTTAAGGAGGTTCTGTAGGCTTTTTGCTCCTTTAATTGTCCTATTCCTCCCTCAAATATGACTTAATCCCCACTGCTGTCACCCCTAATGCCTTAACTTGTTCTAACCACTGTGTAGTAAGTAGCTTTGGAAATTAAAGTAAAAGATGAATGTATTAAAGCAGTTGACTTATGTTTTAGAATTTGTTGTCCATGACTTGAAAATCAAAAGCATCCTCTATTACTGCCCACTTCTGTACACATTCTTAGTGTAACCTAAGAATGCTCTCCATATTTTAACCTCTACATTGAGGTTTTTCCATAAGAGGAAGGAGGAGGAAAACCACAAGGAAAAACTTCAGTGCACACTCCTACATATTCTGCTCTCAACAATTCTCATCAATCTATTTTAATTTTTGAATGGATGTTATTTGAATATATATTCTTATATCAGATTATTAGTTGAAAAATTTGATTATCTTAATTTCACTATTTATAAATTGCATTGAATAATGCATCAATACAATGTATCACTTCTCAAATAGGAAGTAAGGGAACCATCAATACAATGTATCACTTCTCAGATAGGAAGTAAGGGAACCATGATCTGTGAAGACAAGTTTAGGATTAAGAAAGATATTGTGAGAACGTATAAAACTTGCATTCAAGCCTTTCAACTCATATGTGCATTAAATATTTTATTTTATAATAAAAATGTTACTATAAAATACACCTTTTATAAAATATAAACACTTTTATTTAAAATAAATAAAATAAACATTTATTTGGTGGCGAGTGGAGTGGTTTCTTTCAGTGTTATTTATTACCCCCAAATATTTTTTCTGTCTTCACTAACCACTTACATGAAAATTTTATTTTGTCTTGAAAAATATTTCTAAAATTTGTCTGTCTAATATGTTGAAACCCTGTATGTTTTGGAAAGTATAAGTTGACTTTCAATAAGTCAACTCTTCTAATTAATTGTGGAAGCTACTGTGTAAATTTGGCATCCTAAATCTCCACTGCTTTCCTGCTATTTCCTTGGAGGTGGCATTGCTAGGCATTTAAATGAGAAAATGTAGGTAATTAGGTATTAAGTCCCTCAATTTTCTACCTATATACAAAGGAAATTATCTCTTCAATTCTTTAATTTCACCCACTCCTGAGTTTTCGAAGACAGAGAGAAGTGTTTTTTTTTTTTTCCAAATCAGTGACTCAGCTATGCTCAGCCTTGCTATCTTAATGGCTAGTTGAAACAGTACACTCTCTTCTTTCTCCCCCCTCACAGATACATACATCCAAACAACACACACACACACACACACACACAGAGGACATGGGATTATACATAATCTATGTCTAATAAGGTTGGTTTATTGAGATTACTTTTAGTAAACCAATCATATTTTATCACCATGCTCTATGTGTGTGTGTGTGTTTCATATCATACTATTCCTTTTATCTGGAATTCTTCCCACTAGACTCCCTCTTCATTTGCTGGGCAAATATTTAATTATCTTTCAATGCAGTTACATTGTTTCTTTTCAATTGAAATTCTCCTGATTTAACTATCAACCCAAGTAGAATTGGGGACTCTTTGAAGCCCAGATTGCCTCAATTGAGATTTCTTATAATTTATTGTACTCATTTGCATAAGTTTCCTATCCTATTTAAACTATTCTTAATTGGGGAGTGGGAAATAATATATCTTCATTAGAATTGTACCTATGACAATTCACACAGTCACTGGCAATAAACTCTATAAATGTTGGATAAACTCCATAAAATCTTGAGAAGTTTCACTTACCTTGGTTGATCTCAGTCAGCAGAAACAAATTAGAGACTGAGAATCTTTGTTCTAGGCCAAGTCTGTGAAATTTTCATGTGACGAAGGACTGAGAAGCTTTCATACAAGATTGAACAGGGAGCATAGACCCAGGGACATTTAAATTTCCTATTAAGTCAGTGATACCTGAAATGAAGCCAGTGATGCCCAGGCACTAGGGACCAAACCTCTTCAGCAAAGTTGGTGTGTAAGGTAAACACTATGAGTTCAAAGCAGGGGACTTCATAGAGTTTTCCCTCAAGGAATTGCCTCAGTGGAAAGTAGTTAATTGTTATTTTGGGTTAACTGAATCTTATGGTCTATACATTCCAGGTAGGGAAAAATGAATAGTGTAGATAATTTGCTTTCTGTAGTATAAATTTAAAGTTGTTTTTTCTGGTAAAAACTATTTTTAACTGATTAACATTTTCAGTTTGACTGGTCACCATGAAATTATGCATTCTTTCATGGGTCTTAAGTTATAAAAGGAGTATTTTGTAATTATTTATTTATATAAACACATATGCAATAAGAGAATCAAAGAATTATAGACTTAAATCAATACTTAAAGATTGAATCATTCTCTAAGCATTACATCTTTTCTAAAATTCTGAAAGTTTTAATTCAGCCTCCATTTTAACAATCCCCTAGATGAATAGTTTTCATCCAAAGTGAATGAAATCAGCTTGTAAGTACCACTATCTGATATAACTAATAACCACTGTTATTCTTAGGTTGGTTCTAGATAAATTTAAATTAACTTTCAATCAATAACCATTTTTAATATTTTAAAATGTAAGTCATTGAGCTTTCTAGTAATTGGAAGGAATGACATCTAGCTACTTTTGATTGTGAACACAACCATTTGTCTACAACATTTTTTAACATTTAATTCTGAAGTGACTAATTCAATTTTGGCCTGATAAGAAGAGTAGGGTAGAATAATGGCCATCAGTTAAAATGTTATGTGAAGGCTTTTTAAAAAATGTTTATTCTGATGATCTTTGGCTGCTTTTAGCCAAAGAGAAAAATACACACCTCTTCAGTTTTGATTAGACCTTATACATGAAAGACATTTTGTTCAATTTTATCTTATTTGAACTATGCTACAATTTTCAAATATAATTTTCATATGCAAGTGTAGGATAGTTCAAATAGTGGTTGTCTCAACATAAATAATAATTTTCAAGCTCTCTCCCCCTGAAGTTATAGTAAACACACAGGTATTAGGAAGCATGTATTTACTTTTTAAAGGAAGAATCTCCTTGAAAGGAAGTTGCATACCATAAATTTCTGTATGAAAGTTTTTTGGAGGCATTTTTGAATTCAGTGAAAAGGCTGATGTCAATGTTATTGTAAAATTCTTCCTCTTTTTTCCTTTTCATCTACTTTTTCAATTTCCAATCCCTGTATCTACAACTTTAAGATTCTAACTCTTGATTGCTGCCATGAAGGCTTTCTTCAACAACTTCCCTTTGCTATGAGAAAGCCCATATTGGTTTGATCAGATCCCAGTGGTATATATTTGGTTTTGCTTCAATTACTGGGGAGGGTGGGGAGGAGGTCCTTCACATAAAAAATTTTCCCAGGCCAATTTCTTCAAGCATTTTCCCTGCAGTTTTTTCTAATATTTTTGTAGTTTCATGTCTTAAGTTTAAATCTTTTATCCAGTGAGAATCAATCTTTGTTAATGGTGAGAGATCAGGGTCCAGTTTCATTCTTGTACAG